AAAATACTTGTACTTAGTTACATCCCACCACTGTATATACATATATGTATATACATATATACAGTGGTGGGATGTAACTAAGTACAAGTATTTCGTTACTGTACTTAAGTACATTTTTCTTGTATCTGTACTTACTTAAGTAGAGTTAACTGTGGGTACTTTCTACTTTTACTCCACTACTATTTACATTAAGTATCTGTACTTTTTACCACACTACATTTTTATACTGCGTTGCGTTACAAATTACATTCTCATTACAGTTTTTTGATTTGTTTGTTAGTTTGAAAGTAACTAATGGTGAGAGGGGAGTTGGTCCATTTAATCACTGCAAAGTGGACAGGTAATGTTAGACCCTCCTTCAAGAAGAGCATAGTTTCACTTCCTTTCCACCACTCAGCATAGCAGAAGCTTAGATTCTTATTTTATGAATTCATTCATAAACAGTCATTCATAGAGTCCATCACACAATGTACAACATACAGATATGACATTAGTGTGCACTGTTCACACAATGCATGTATAACTAACAAACACAGAAGAAAGTTTATCAACCTCAAGTATGGACTCATGATTCAACTATTTGTTTTCTCCACTGACCAAACCTGAGCAGTGTAGCTCTCTGTTATTATGATTGCTTCAGAAGTTGTTTGAATCCATCATGTTGTAAAAGCTTGTCACAAACTCATTTAGAGCTAACATGTTCTTTAATCGCCTTTAGGCTACTCCTCTTCCCTTGTAATTCACTTAGGATAAAACCGTCTGCTAAATTAATGTGAAGAAATTAAACTGTGTGTGCGTGCATGCAACCCCCCCCACCCCCCACCCCGCCTATTGGCCTACTGTCTGCAGGGAAACAGAATCAAAGCAGATCCTGTCATACTGTTTCGTTCCGCACCATTCAAACCAACGACAAAATGCCATCAATTAAAACATCAAATGTCAAAGGAAGTACACATTGTATTTACCTCAGATATTTATTGACAGACTGAGATCTGTCTGTTTTTGCTCTTCACCACTTTAGTAAAAAATAAAAAAATTAAAAACACAACAATACCTGTCATATTTTTGATTTAGCATCTTAAACATAATATGTGTTACCCATTTGTTAATCTCATTAGTTAGTCATAAATTTGAGCATACAAAACTTTTTATAAAATGTGTACACTTTTAAAGCATCTAACATTAATGCATATTTATCATCTGCTGCAGCAAATGCAGGGAATAATGTTAATGTTTGTGTAGATTTTTGTGTATTTGTAGATTTGCTTGTTTGATGGTCTGTTTCCAAAATATATCATGTACCAATGGATAGTTTTAATAAAAGTTGCATTAGACGTACATGTAAATACAATAAGTTTTGTATTTAACTGGATTAAAGATGGTAGTCACAGTAAATCAACCTTAGAAAACACAAAAAGGCTATAACCCTGTCAGTTTCATAGATACTGAGTTAAATATTGACGTGGAAGAAGCTGCGCGTATCCTGATGAATGCTCAACAATCCAGGTAGACAAATTTAACAAAGTTGAGTCAGCTCCTCTGGACGAATTCTTCTTTCATCCAAAAGACTTCTTCAGTGGAAAAACTGCAGTCACACTCTAGTTTCAACAAAAAGAAGAACCCATCCAGAGGAGCTGACTCAACTTGTTAGAAGCTGAGAGTAACTTTCAACACATCTCGAATGCTAACAGATCACATGAGATCTTAATATGAAACTTTGACACCAACCTTTGGACTCAACTCTATCTGTCTGTTTGCAAAATACATCATGAGCCAGTGGACAAGTTCTACTGAACATCTGGATGTAAATTTACAACTGATTAAGTTTTGGAGCCGACACAAAAAATATTTTAAATCAGTCATTATGACACATTTGCAGCATGGTAGTAGCTTAAATTCTGTCACAACACGCATCCTTCAAGGAATATTTTCATAACAAATGAAATCAAGAGGATGAAAAAGAGATACTGAAATGGAAATCAATCATTTTTGAATTTATGGTGTAATAAATACAAAAATGTGTGTTATTGTGTGTATTTCGAGGATCTGTGTGTGTGTGTGTGTGTGTGTGTGTGTGTTTTGATTTCATGTGTCACTGGGTTTGTCAAACGTGCATACACAGGATCAGATGTGATGACGCACAGACACACATCTATGCAACTTCTCAAGCCTCAGCCATCAAACAAGACGGGTAATCTAAGTGACTTAGACGAGCACAAGGCGTCAGAGTGCATTCTTTTATGTTGTGTATGCATGTGGGTGCTCTAAATTATTATTGTGCCTATATGATGTCATCACTCAAACAAACACTAGTGTTGTGTTGTTGTTTGGGAAGTCACATTTTCCATTCAACTTCATGAACTCCAAGGAAAACACAAATCTTGTTTCCTTTCCAGATGTCAGAAAGCATCTGGAGTGCTGCTTTTACTAGCTGAGTGGAGCAGACAGCCGGCAGAAAGACACCAGCAGTTTGAGAAAGAGAAAAAACACTTATGTAATACTGCAATAATGTGCAACTCTACTTTTTCATCCTTATTTGTTAAATAGTGTAATTTGTGTTACTTATCACATCTTCTATGGTTTAGGCCCATTATACAAAGGTGGTCATTGATAAAATCTCTGCATAGCCTTTAAAACAGTTCTATAAAACACTGGATAGCATCTGTTAATGCAATGCCCTGTAAAAAAAATCCTGCATGATTGTTCAAGCTTTAAATTAGTGTCAGTGCTCTAGCAATTACAGAACAGTATCGTTAAATCTTGGGAGGGAAACCAATTTTGTTAAACACTGAAATTGATAGAAACCACATTTTTTTGTGCATAATTACTTAGTTTCAATTTTTATTTCTCCAATTAGAGCTCTCTGCAATATGTACATTCACTGATACAAAACATTAATTACACAGGGAGAGTGGTGGAAAGGAAGTGAAACTATGCATGTTAAAAGGTCTGGACACAAGTGGTGATTCGGAGGCTAACCGATTCATGAAACGTTCTAACCTCTCCTGTGGCACGTTGACCCACAGCTGTTAACTGGTCTCAGAGATATGTAAGAATGGCAGGTGGTTGGAACTGACAACACAGCTCATCCACTAGATGATTGATTGGTGAAAGTTCAGCGGATCTGGCTAGCCCTGTTTGTACCTCAAAGTGATGCAGACAGTAGACGTCATATGTGGGCATCATAGTCTTTAAACATTGAATCAGGGTCTTGTCTCAGGAGGGGTAAGACATGTAGGACGTAACTGAGGTAGTTCTCTGCATTCATTATGGTTCTCCTTAGGAGTGACATGGATGGATAAGATTAGGAATGAGATCATCAGAGGTACCGCACAGGTTGACCAACTGGGAGATAAAGTTAGAGAGACCATACTGAGATGGTTTGGACATGTCCAGAGGAGGGGCAGTGGATATATTGGTAGAAGGATGTTAGAAATGCAGCTACCAGGAAAAAGACAAAGAGGAGGCATATGGAGTTAGAGAGGACATGGAGGTAGTTGGAGTGAGGACAGAGGATGCAGAGGACAGAGATTGAGGAGGATGACTTGTTATGGTGACACTGAAGAGGTAACAGCTGAAAGAAATATTTTTTATGGCCTCTTGTATTTGGTATAATTTTTTGTACTAGGTATTGATTTTTGTGCAGCACTTTGGTCAGCAGCAGTTGTTTTAATGGTACTACATAAAAAAAAAAAAAAAAACCTACTGTGGGACACTCTGGCAACTACTTGATAATAATATTGCTCCAATCAGAATGCCTCCACTTTTGTCCTCTGGTGCTCTTTCTGTTTGGGCTAGTTCCTTGCAAGCCAAATAATTCCCATTCCCACTGCTGGTCTGCATTTTTTCCAAATTATGTCCATATTGGACCATTCCTTTTAGATGTAACTTTTTGCCAATGAGTGTATTTGGAACAGAAACATCTCCATGTCCAGTCCTTACATTAAAGTACTTAAGTTCACATGACTCCTAATTTAGCTGGCTCCCGAGCAATTGTACAAGCTTGTTTTCCAGTTTTAAGATTAATATAAAAATGTAGATTTCAATGTTGAAATAACTTTTATACTAAATAATACCTGTTCTAGGATGGTCTGTAGTCTCTCAGGCTCCAAATCGATGACATATTTTCGCTCCTGTCGTCGATCCAAGTCTTCTAAGAGTCGTCGATATGCTGCGTCATTGAAACTCTCCACACAGATCGCACTCACCTGTTCACAAGAAATGTTTACACACATACAAATATAATGGAGGAATAAGCTCATGTAACAAAACCATAAGTAAACTCAAAATGTTGTGTAATGTTGTGCATGCTCAATAATCCAGGTAGATAAATCTACATGGTTAAGTCAGGTCCTCTGGATGGATTCTTGAAACGTTTCTTCTTTTATCCTAAAGACTAGAAGTCTTTTGGATAAAAGACAAAACATTTAAACAAAGAAGCACCTGTCCAGAGGACCTGACTTAACCTTGTAGAGTTGTGTATCGTTGATTGCATGTGATTAAGTAAATTACTGT